TATTTGTTATTTGCAGGGGAAAACATTAAAATGCAATTTAAGGAATAGGACAACAACTAAGGGACATAGACATTTATAAAGGTTATTTTGTGTGTTATTGAGCTAAAAGCAGCGACATATGAGCATCGACATGCTTAGTTAACATTGTTTGTTTATGCATCTGTTTTTTATTTGTATACTTATGCTCCTTACTTTTTTATGTCTTATTTGCATAGAATTAACATCACATTTAATTTGCTATACACTTTTACAGTTGTTAGTAACATGCCATTAACTGCAGCCGAGAAGCAACGGCGCTATCGCGATCATAGAGACCAGGATCCAGAGAGGATAGAACGGTATCTTCTATGGGAAAAAAAGAAGAAGGCCTATAAGAGAGACCGAGAACAAGAAAAGAAAAATAGAGGCATAGAAGAATGCAATGAGGTAGAAAAGGTGTTGAGGATGAGATGGAGAGCAGACCATGTTTTATATGTCCAAAGATGATTTGTTTTAATAAAGATATACATTTTCTTCTATATGATTGTATTTTTCTATATAATTCTATATTACCTCCCATATGGAAGCAGATTATCATGGCCTAATGTTCCATAACTAGTACACTGTAAAAAGTGAAACATTGGATTAACCTAATAAAATTGAAGTAACCATTCACAATAAAGATTTTACATTGGCCTAATGTTCAGAAACCATTCAGTTCAAACTAATTTTCTGCATTTCATGCAAACTCTTTTCTGAATTTGTTGTAAATCAATATTTTAAATTGGCTTAAATGGAAAAAAGAAGGTTTTTAACAGACTTGATTTCATGCAAACTCTTTTCTGAATTTGGTGTAAATCATTATTTTAAATTGGCTTAAATAAAAAAAAGTGTTTTTAGCAGACTTGATCTAAATTGAGTTTTCTTCAATCTGAAATATTCATTCCAAATAATACAAAAGGCTTCACAATTGGCATAACATCAATGAGTCAGATCAAACGTTCTTTTAAATATTTATTAAGTCTTGAATGAAAATCACTGTTTTTAAGATTAGACTCTTTTTTGGCAAAACAAACTTACACTTGTAATTCTTAGACAGTTCAAGTAATCAGTTCATTTCAAATTGAATTTCATATATAGCAGTATTAAAATGTGAATATATCATAAGAACAATAATAAGAAAAAAGAACAAATACCTAAAAACAATTGGTCTGGTTCTCTCAGAAATTTTTGTCAGAAGAAATAAATGTAAATCAAATACAAAACATAGATATTGCCACATTCAGTAAACAACAAACAACTACTGAACTACTATTACGATGTAGTTGAGACTGGGGTAAAGGCGTTTCTCCCATCCTGTGTGTGTGTTCATCAAAGTACTGAAATGGAGGCTGTCAGTCATTCATTGACAATGCAGCAGAGTGCAGAGGCGACATAGTTAATTTCAGTTCTTTTGGAAATTTGAGGTTTAGCACATGCAGTCCAAATAAAACTGTTACAGCAGCTGCAGTTGAGGGCACGTTACTGAGGACCTCTGTGCTCTCAATGCTCTCACTGATGAAGATGGCCATTGGTTGCTCCGGCTATCACCTGGCATATCCTGGCGAGACAATACATAGTAATGAATAAAGAGTGCTAACCAAACAGTTGATGGAGTATCTCAGAAAATTAAAATATCACATATAACCAATAAAAACAAGGATTTGTAATACAGAATGTATGCCTTAAGAAAAGCATTTTCATGTTCAGTCAGTAATTGGTTGGAACACTATTTTTTCCACGTCAGTAATTGTTTGGAACACTATTTGTGGAACCACTATGAGTGGTTGGTAGCACTGTTGCCGTCTTTTATTTTTTGGGTACAGATCTCGTAGCCTAGGCTGCCTACAGACGCGTTTTTTTTTTTTTTTTTTGACGGCCTGCTTATGGGGCGTGCAGTTAGCGGATCATGAGGATGAATGATCATTTATGTTTGTGCCTGCAATCGCTGATACAACCTTTAAAACAACCTGGGCATTCAGCTGTGCCACATGCAGATTGCCTCCATACTGATGCAGCAATTCAAGCAAAAGGAGGCCAAAATACCAGGTATTTAGTGCATATACGTGAACATAGCTATAAGCTGCAATCAACAGAAGTAGCACAAATAATTGCGTGAAATATATATATATATAATGCATGAGTTACACTTTTTTGTAACTTTTTTTTCTCAAATTACTGAACTTAGACTACATTCTAATTTTTTGTATGTACTGTATGTACAGTATGGAAGTATGTGCGTGGATTGCTGAGCGATGTACGTACCTGAATTTTCTTGATGAGATGGTGAACAGATTCACCAAAGCAGATGAATAAACATTTAAGAACTGATTCCCTCCTTGTGTTGTCCACGACCTGAACAAAATGCATTCATTAAAATAACATGCTCCTTTTTTATCACATACAGTAGAAATACGGTTTGAAAAAGACAAAGTATAATGAAACATGATAAAAAATTTGACCATTCATCATGGAGCATTTTTTTTTATAATGCCATGCCTGCCTGACACATTTAGAACACATTTAGCCTAAAGGTGCAAAAAGCTCACAATGTTAGTGTTAGGGGCATCATGCTCAGTATAAATCACTGTTTTATAAACCATAAACAAGGTTCAAAGTAGCCCCACACTTCGTTGGTAGTATAATTAAGGTTCTAACATTTGAAACAAGGCATTGATAACTTTGTAAGTGTACATATAGTTTATTAAAAAGACTGTTTTTATTGAAACACAGTAAAGTTACCTTGACTTCTCCAATAATCATTTGCTCCTGCCCTGCAATCTGTATTGAACGCAAAAACAACTTACCCGTGTCAGTGAAGACTTGACAGACAACCAAAACTGCCCAAAACTAGGAACCATGCCAACCAAGCAGCAGCTTTCCTAAAATTCAAATCCAAACAGTCATTAATCCGTTTTAGTTTTGCAGTTTCAAAGTGTAAATTTATTTTCCTCACATTAATTTCCGCCTTCGCAAATTTAATACATAAAACATAACGTTATAAAATCTGCGTTCATATTGAAAGCCGGGGGAGAGGCAGTTAGCCTGACTTTAAACTCTGGGCGGGAAACGTTAACGTTAAGTTGTTAGCTAGCTAACTTAAACGTCACTCCCATATTGAGGTGATTCATTTAACGTTAGCAGCTAATTGTCGTTACTCAAAACTCAGTCATGAATACATCGTTTTTTTAACAACATTCATCATTTTTTCCTTTCATAATATCCATTCAATCGGTCTAACGGTATATAATCTTAAGTTCTTGGATTTCCCTGGAAAATCGTTAGCACCTAGCTGTAAAATGGCGCGTTAACGCTACTTACCACTATAATGTCAAAATGAATGTTATAATAACTTCTAATCTGCGTGTCTGTTCATTAAAATGATATGACGTTAATACTTTTCAAGTATTTAAATGCTGAATGGTACCCCCTTACCTGACAAACGTGTCCTGTTCGCTTCGCGTTGTTCAACAGATGACTCTCCGACTTCTGCGCTCGGTCTCTTCTAGAACCTTCTCTCGAGTTTTCACGTGTGCGCATGCGCAAACCATGCTTTATCTAATAAAAGTCGTTTGATCGAATGTATAATTTAAAATTCATTGTAATGTTATAATTTTATATTGTACCAATCTAAGAAAATAGACTGAAAGACACATACAAATCACAAAATGTAATTTTACTTAACAATCTAATAATTTTAGGCTATTGGAATGAAAAAAAAAAAATCAAACGAAAAACACCAATGTTTTACTTTTTACAGTGTATGGAAGTAAATAAGTTCATAACTCTTGTCCATAATGCATGCAATTAACTGCAATGACAAACAATAGGTGACTGAAGACACTCGAGCTCAGTCCTGTTACTGTCATTAATGTGATATTTTAAAAGAAAAATGACATTTGACAGTCAAACAGATCTCACCATAGTAACCTGCACTATATTGCATTTTGGACAAGACCCTTTTAAAAATAAATATCTTGTCAAAGTATACATATTTCTTAATTGTAATGTGATGTCGTCCCTGAAATAGGACATTTTCAGTAATCTGAATGGATATTATGATATAAAACAGAATTGTTTTAAATATGACATCGTCTGAATGAAAAGAGGGAACAAAATACTACTAATATATGTGCAAACTGTTGCATATTTGTAATTGGAATTATTATTTATAGTAACACTTTAGTCGGTAACAGGACTGAGGAAAATATCAACACATGAAATAAATAAACAGTCATAAAATAATAAATGGCATAGCTTGAGAAGGCCCAACACAATTTCCTGTCATGTTAAGATGTCTTAATTTATTGGGTACTGAAAAAAATCAGTTTAAAACAATTATATTTTTCAAATTTTTAAAGTTGAAAAGGCACCGATTTCGTGGAATGACCCATCTAAAGTTATTTTATTTGTAGTTAATTGTTCTGCACTTTTGCACGTACACATTTTTTTTAACCAAAAGCAATTACAGTGGTTAACTTGTTTAAAGTATGCATTGTCTGCTGGTTTATTTAGCTACTTTCAGTACACCACATTAGTACTGTAAGAGTTTGAATATTAAAGTGCAAATACAGTTACTTAAAGTAAGCAACACAGTTACAACTAATACAATTGATAATGGCCACACCCGGGTATTTTTGATAATAGTCTGCAAATAATCAAGAATTGACAATATAGTCAGTCATATTGTCGGCACAAAGGGGCCCCCAAATAAAATTCTGCTTAGGACCCATAAAGGCTTGGGCAGCGGGCCTTGAGTGCAGTAAACGAAGGCACTGATTGTATTCTAATTTATGATATTATAAGTATGTATAATTTATTGCGTCTGTGCAATTTATTACATTTCACTATAATTAAAAGTATAAACTCCAAAGTGTAGATTTCAAAGTGATAGCTATTTCATTAGAAAAACTCTCCTCCCTCACGGGGCATGTTTACGTCATCATCATGGCGTCAGTGCCGCGGATAAGTCTGAGCGGGAGCGAGGGCGGAGCGCAGAGCCGAGTGTCCAGAGTTATATTTCTGGCTGCTGTAGTCACTCACGTTCACTGATTCAATGAACGGTATAATGGCTGCATCGTCGAACAGAATCATGCTAGGCCCCCTCGTAGCTGCTATCGACCAAGGCACGAGTTCCACACGTTTTCTGGTAAGTCGCATCTTGAGGACATGTCATCTGGTTGTGGTCGAGCTTACTGAAGTGGCTCGCATACAGACAGAGATTGGAGAGTCCTCCGTGCCCTTGCCAACATGTGCCGGCAGATAAAGATGCCGAAGCCGGTTCAGCAGGAGTTCTGATTCAGCTGTCATGGAAGTTAGCCAAATGAATTGCTTTTAGTGTCTGGGTCTGCTTAGTCTTCCGTATGATGACAATTGAACATTAGCTGAATCTTTCTAGTTAGCTTTCTGTTTCCTCGGTACTTGTCTCTGTAAATAATTATTTTGTGCAATCGAAGGGATATTTTGACACTAGGCAAGTGAACACGTTCAGCCCAAATGCTGTTAATTTCTGGCTCTCTGTGAAATTTAACTTGCTAAACTGGTAATAATCTACTTTTTACCCAGTTACACAATGTTTGGATTTGAGCAGCATTACAAAGTTCAAATGTTTTGCTTAAAACTAAGTTTCAATTCCCACTTTAATATGACAGCTGTAATTATGATGTTTTTAGAACTTGACGACTAAATGACAGCCAATCACACATTGGACAGTTTCTCCATACAGTGTATAAGATTGCCTATTGTTTTAGTTGTGTTGAAGGATCCTGATAGATCTGCAAGTGAGTGCTAGGGGGCTGTGGAAATGTTTAGAGAAAAACAGTCTTAAATTAATGTAAAAAAAGTTCATAATAAACACAAATAAATAAAAAGTAGATTAAAATAAGTAAATTAGGTAATAAATAAAATCTTACAGTACAGTACTATAATGAGTAGGAAAAATATAAGGCTAATTCAGGAAAATTGGGACATTTTTCCCAGTCATCTGAATGGCAGAAAGTGTCCAAATTCACCCTAATAATGTTACTTAACTAAATATTTTTGACATTATTAGTATGAATTTTTTTTTTTTCACAGTACATATTTGATCTTTATACAAGGAACTATATACCTTTTAAATTTTAGGTTGGGGTCCCTGTCCCTCTCATGAGGAAGATCATGTTTGAAGACCCCTTTCTTCACAGGTTGTTCTGACCTGAAATGTTACTGTTGCCTACTGTGGGCCTAATATGTTACGTACATTAGATCTCATCTGACAAGGTCATGACACTAATAGTGGACAAAGCAAAAAATATGTTGTTTTTTTGTGCTTTTGTTTTGTCCATTAGGAAGACACAGAAGAATGTGTGTTCGTGTTAAAATAGGGTGTGCTTGTAATTCCACAGCCTAAAAAAACATTCCTCATATTGTAAAAATGTTGCGGTGGGAATTGTTACTCAATAGAAAAGCTCAGAATGAAATAAAACTTTGTAATTAATGCCTTTGTAATACCTGGAATTTCCAGTTTTCAGCATCACTGACAAATGACTGCAATACCACACTGAAATGTAGCAGGTACAAGTCAGGGAATTGCTATTCTGGCATTCTTTCTCCAAAACATTGTTTTTATACCTGTGATTTCTGTCTTTCTCCAAGTTGAACAGAGGCAGTTTGGAAGAATAATCTTCATTGGGCAGGCCATCTGACTCTTGTCATAAAAATTTAAGCAAATTTTGATTTAAAAAATAATAATTAAAATAAGTGTTAATTTTCTGCTTTAAAATAGATTAACCTTTGGGGTGCCCTTTTGAACCATTTCATCTGACATTACTGAATGCAATATGTTTCATGATAAGTGGCTTTAATTCATGTTTTCTTTATTTTCTTGTTATGAAATTTAACTGACAGACTTGGCATCTTTCTCTCTTCTTTTACTTGTAGGTTTTCAATGCAAAAACCGCAGAGCTTCTCAGCCACCATCAGGTTGAGATTAAACAGAGCTTTCCTAAAGAGGGGTGAGTATTGTGTCCTTTCTGTCATGAGATGGCATGCTGGTTCAATGGGGCAATGCATTAATATAGCTATAGTAAAACTTCTGATTCAAATCACAAGTTCACTATTGGTTCATACTGTTATTCTGGATGAGCTGAATAGGATTTTTTCCATTCACTTGGATGGTAATGATGTCATGTGTCAACTGTGTGTAGTGTGCTGTATTTAGGATTCATGCAGGTTTCATGTGTCAGGTCTGACTGAGAACATTAAAATGATTTATTGTCTGTTCCCAGCTGGGTGGAGGAAGATCCAAAAGAGATTCTTCAGTCTGTGTATGAGTGTATGGACAGGACCTGTGAGAAACTGACCCAGCTCAACATTGATATCTCAAACATAAAAGGTACCAGGACCACCTGCTATTTCTCCATGCACATGTTCTTACACTATGCTTTTATGGTTGGTTATTTTAATTTCTTGAAAAAAAGAAGTGTGAAGTCCGCACACTGAAAAAGCTGCTCCAAAGAATTTATTAGCAAGGCAACGTTTCGACCATCAGGTCTTCATCAGGCACAATAATCACTGTAGAGTAAGTTTAGCATTAAATAGACACAGGTGATCACCATTAATTATAATCACCTTGATTATGCACACATAAGGGATCATGTGACAGATACGTGACAAATACAAAGCACGTGACCAATGAAAAAGAAATCCGCAGACAATTGAATGATCATGTCTTTTATGAACCCTTACTTGCTGATCCTACTAACAAATTAAAAGCGTGCATTGACTCTAAGTTATTGTCACATTTTGAAAATGGGGAGTTCAGTAAAAATGAATATGAATTTCTGAAAGTAGATTTTCCAATTACATCTATTTTATATACTTTGCCTAAGGTCCACAAAGGCCTAGAAACTCCTTTGAAAGGTCGTCCTATTGTGAGCGGTATAGGTAGTCTTACTGAAAACATTTCCTCTTATGTGGATTTTTATATCAAACCTTTTGTACCCATGTTGTCGTCATATGTAAGAGATTCTATGGATTTTATTGAATCATTATATAATGTTGACTTTGCTGTTGATGCTGTCCTTCTTGCCACTTTTGATGTTCAGAGTTTATATACCAACATCCCTCATACTGAGGGTTTATCTGCTTTAGAACAATTTTTAACACAAAGATCTGTGGACGAAAAACCTAGTACAGCATGTCTATTGGACTTAGCAAGTATTGTCCTAACTAACAATTTTTTTCGTTTTCAGGACGACTTTTACTTACAAGTGAAAGGTACTGCAATGGGTAGTAAGATGGCACCTAATTATGCTTGCTTGTATATGGGAGTTTTTGAAAATGACTTTATTCTAAATGAGTCAAATTCCTTTTTTCCTAAGATTTTGCTTTACAAGCGGTACATTGATGACATTTTTATGATCACTAAGGCCACGCCTGCAGAGATGTTGATGTTTTTGAATTATCTTAACTCAAGGACTGAGCATGTGAATTTCACTATGGAATGCGATCCAGTAAGCATTAGTTTCCTTGATGTTCGAGTATATATAAATGACGGGAAACTCCATACCGATCTATACCGAAAATCAACGGATCGCAACACTATTTTAAGAGGCGATAGTTTCCATCCTAGACCTTTAATTAAGAGTTTACCTATCAGTCAATTTAAGCGTGTGCGTAGAATCTGTAGCACGGATGAATCATATACTCACCAATCCAATGTTTTAACTAAAAGATTCTTGAATCGTGGTTACCGTATAGAATGGATGGAAAATGCCAAAAAAAAATCAATGAGACCTCTCAAATGCAGTGTTTGCGAAAAAAACGTGATAAGAATACGCAAGTTCTCAATGCTCCCATTTGTACGATAAAGTACTCAGCATTGGGTGCGGAGTTTCGTAGCATTTTAAATAAACATTGGCATATCATTTCAAGTGATCCTAAATTATCAGGTGTTTTTAAAAATGGTCCAAAACTAGTCTTTAAACGCCAAAATAATCTTCGTGACTTGCTTGTGAAATCTGAATATCCTTCACGCACGAAACATGGTATTCCAACTCTTCCCCCAGGGAATTACAGGTGTGGTAATTGCGCCCAGTGTGCTTTTACACACAAATGTAAGTCTTTTAGTCATCCACGTACTGGTCATGATATTCCGATACGGGGTACTATTACTTGTTCTTCCACTCATGTGATTTATCTAATTCGGTGTCCTTGCGGTCTTGCATACGTGGGAAAAACATTTAGACAATTGCGTACCCGTATTAGTGAACATCGCAGTACCATTAGGACTGGTGATATGCGCAGCCCTATAGCGGCTCATTTTTAGAAAAGTAGGCCATAATGTCAGCGCCTTGCAGTATATTGGCATAGAAAAAGTAACAAAACCCTCAAGAGGAGGAGATTATGAGAAAAAATTATTACAGAGGGAATGTTTTTGGATTTATACTTTAAGCACTCTGTCACCATTAGGGTTGAATGAGGAGTTTGATATCAAGCCTTTTTTATAGTATTATTATTATTGTGTATGTGTTTATGTATATGTGTTTATATGTGTATGCATGTATATGTATGTGTATATGTATATATGTATGGGTATGTATGTAGGTATGTATGTTTTTTTTTTGTTTTTTTTTCTCGCGTGAAATGTTATGGTCACGTGCTTTGTATTTGTCACGTATCTGTCACATGATCCCTTATGTGTGCATAATCAAGGTGATTATATTAATGGTGATCACCTGTGTCTATTTAATGCTAAACTTACTCTACAGTGATTATTGTGCCTGATGAAGACCTGATGGTCGAAACGTTGCCTTGCTAATAAATTCTTTGGAGCAGCTTTTTCAGTGTGCGGACTTCACACTTCTTTTTTTCATTTGTATTACTCAGTTGTCCTGCACCTGCGCCCAACTCTGGGAGTTTGGGATGTGCACACCAGTTGTGTAATATTTTAATTTCTTCCCTTATTTTAATCCGTGTAGCCATTGGGGTGACAAATCAGAGGGAAACCACCATTGTTTGGGACAAGGAAACGGGGGAACCACTTTACAATGCTATAGGTAAGTAACATTGCCTCACTTTTATTTATAAATACCACTTTTTTCAGACATTGTATCCATTGTTTTACAGTTCAGAATCTATTAAAAAATAATAATAATAATTACTAATTTATTTTGATGTTTAGTTTGGCTTGATCTGCGGACCCAGTCCACAGTAGAAAGACTTATCAACAAAACTCCTGGCAGGAACAAAAACCACCTCAAGGTGAGAGTGCCAGTGTTCCCTTGTAAACAAGACTGAAATTATCTTGAACAGCTACATACTAGGGATGCACGATGCTATCGGGACAACATCGGTATCGGCCGATAAAAGCTTAAAATGACCATCATCGGCATCGGCCGATATGAATATTTCTGCCGATGAGTCTTGCCGATAGGGTGGCGTGTTTCCTATGCGCACGTGACGACCGTGAACGAAGCATGAGCGCCAGCAACTTAAACTTCCAACTAGGGGTGCGCGTCTCACGGTTTTTGATCGTGGATGATTAAAATGTCTCCACGATCTGCTTTTGAAGAAAAATCATAGTATCGTGCATTCTATCAGTTCAATTCTGGCGCCTTCATCTCAACATACACTGTACAACGCGACGTACATTCACATCACATGTAAACGCAGAGGTAGAGTTACACTCACGGGACACTGCAATTCACAAAAGTTCATTGTTTGCATGTGCGTCAAAGTCTTGCTAGGTAAACATGTCATTCACGTGCTGATGCGCTGTTCTAACATCCGCTTTTCTGAGCGGGTAGACGCGACGCTCACAGGAACTAAAAGCCTGTCACAGCGCCTGCATACTGGACTAATCTTTCGAGTCTTATTGCGCTGATACTGTCAAATACACACAAGGTTTACATAAACAAAGTTGGTTATGTCTAAAGTGAAAGCAAACAGAGAAAATCTGCTTGTCAAATGCGTGTATATTAGACGCGTCGCGTTACTCGCGTGCAGTTCTTAAAGAGACAGTAATAATATTCTGCCGCTTGTCTTTAAAGAGATACTGCACCCAGAAATAAAAATTCTGTCTATCTAATGTTGTTTCAAACCTGGATTCATTTCTTTCTTGTGCTTAAATATACTATGGTATGGCAAGCCGTTTTAACTTTTATTCATTTTCAGGATATGAATCCTTGATATCAACAATTCAATTTTCACTAGTTAAAATTATAATTATTGATATCAACAATTAAATTTTTGATATCAAGAATACAATTGTTGATATCAACAATTGCATTCTTGATATCAACAATTGCATTCTTGATATCAACAATTGCATTCTTGATATCAACAATTGAATTCTTGATATCAACAATTGAATTCTTGATATCAACAATTGAAATCTTGATATCAACAATTGTATTTTCACTAGTGAAATGTCACCATAGGCTGCCATTCAAAATCAATTGTTGATATCAAGAATTACATTTTTGATATCAACAATTACATTTTTGATATCAACAATTACATTTTTGATATCAACAATTACATTTTTGATATCAACAATTACATTTTTGATATCAAGAATTCAATTGTTGATATCAATAATTATATTCCTGATATCAAGAATTAGATTGTTACTAGTAAAAATGCGAATTCCTGATATCAACAATTGAATTGCTACTAGTAAAAATGTTTATTCTTGATATCTGAAAATGTATTATTGATATCAATATTATTTCAGATATCTAAAATGGCTTTCTTACTAGTAACAATCACATTCATGATATCAGAAATGAACATTGTCACTAGTGAAAATGTAATTATTGATATCAAAAATGAACATTCTTACTAGTAGCAATTCAATTGTTGATATCAAGAATAGACATTTCAACTAGTAACAATTTAATTATTGATATCAGGAATTCGCATTTTTACTAGTAACAATTGCATTCTTGATATCAACAATTGATTTTGAATGGCAGCCTATGGTGACATTTCACTAGTGAAAATACAATTACAGATATCAAGAATTCAATTGTTGATATCAACAATTACATTTTTGATATCAAGAATTCAATTGTTTATATCAAGATTTCAATTGTTGATATCAAGAATTCAATTGTTGATATCAAGAATGCAATTGTTGATATCAAGAATGCAATTGTTGATATCAAGAATACATATCCTGGACATTCTTCCAAATAACTTTTATAATTTCAACAGAAGAAAGAAACTTGAGAGAGTAAATTATGACAATTTAAATTTTTGGGAGAACTATCCCGTTAATGTTAATAAAACAACAAAACACAGAGGAAATCACTCACTGCTCTTGACTGAGAACATTAATAGAAGCTTTAATAAGCTTTTTTTGCACTTAAAAAAAATACAAATATATCGATATCGGCATCGGGCAAAATTAGTTTGAAAATATCGGCATATCGAATATCGGCCAAAATCCTATATCGTGCATCCCTACTACATACACAATCCATTATTATATAAAATAATTTTCAAAATATCTGTCAGGAAGTCTTTATTTTTTAAATCCCCATGAAATCAAGATGGAAGTTTTGTGGCTTTTAGTATGAATATCTATAAGCTGGCGTGCTCCAAAACATGACAAATTAACATTTAGAAGATACATTCTGAATGTACATTTTGATTACACCATTATGCACTTTTTTCTGTCCAATCAAATGCTCTCTAGAATCTGAAGCATCCCCAACATAAAAACACGCTAAAGCTGCTTCAGTGCATCTGAAGTAGATCACTTTTGAAACTATTTTTTTTTTTTATATGATGAAATTTGATTACTAAAAATTAGTTAAAAGTTAGTTAGTTTCATATTAAATCTAAAGGGGGAATCGATTAGACTTAATTTTTAATACAACTGTGTTTGTCAAAAGCTGTCATAGGGATGTCACGGTACCAAAATTCCAGTAGTCTGTACCGATACCATTAAAATTTTACGGTTCTCGGTACCACAGCAAAATCTGTTTGAACTATTTTTCCAATTTATTTAACTATTTGAAAAGAAATATTAAATTCAATTCAATGACTTTATCATTTATGGCGGTAAATTTATGAAAGCATTGAAGGCTACATGCTGTTTAAACGAAAATATTGATGATATTGAGAAATGAAAAAGTGAAAAATAAGCAACCTTCTATGCACACATTATTATTATTAGTAGTAGTATTTTTAATTAATGGAGACGTAGTTAAATCTATTGTACAGTAGCCTAATATAATTATTTCTGTCAATTTCTTTAAGTTAAACCGAACTTTTATTTTGACGGGTTGCCGTGAAGACCTTTGAGTTTCTGTGCGAGTATGATATGACGATAGTTTTTCTCAAATGAAACGGTAAAATGCTCATGAAGTGAGCAAGTGACTCTCACTGTACGTTCACACCGCCGCCGACTTGAGCTTCCAAAGCGGCCGGAAGTCATTCATTTTCAATGGAAGCTGGCTTTTCTCAGCTGCAAGGAGCGTCAAATCCATCGGCGTCGCGTTTTGGGCGTTTTGAGCGTCAATCAGAAAGTTGAAAGAAGCTCAACTTTATGGTAATGAGCTATGACGCGGTGCAGCGGCAAAACGCCAGCAACCAATCGGAATATAGACGTCCTTCGCACTGGCTGATTCCGGAGAAACATACAATGTAAACTTTCGTTCCTACCAAAACATTAGTTCCGAGAAAATGGAAGAGAAGCTAATAATCGCCGTTGCTGGGTTTCCTATCATTTATGACATGACGTTGTTTGCTTATAGGGACCGCATGAGCGCAACTTTTATTTGAAATATTTACGAACACTCGTTTTAAAGCGGGAACACCGATTTGACCAATTGCATTTATAGCCTAATGCAAATAATAATAATAATAGCTAACTATTCTTTTTTTCCCGACCAAATGTGACAAACGTTTATAAAAATGCTGCCATTATAAAAGGTTTCTTTAATGTATTGCTTGTTTTTTTCTGTTTATTACATTTCATGTTGTGACACTTCTATTCTCCCTGCAACGTCAGAGCGTTCAAATCGTCCAAAGCGTCAACAAGCTTCCCCGTACTTTTTGACAAGAGTCCTTGACAAGGCGGCCAGAGCTTCTTTGACGCTCAAGTCGGCGGCGGTGTGAACGTACAGTCAGAGATGAATTGAATCATGAATCATGTCATCATATCGTAAGGCAGCAGAGACTGAAAACAGCGCAAGCGTCACTCGTGCTTCAGTTTGTGTGTGTGTGTGTGTGTGTGTGTGTGAGGTAACGTTAAATGAAACAGCGCGTCTGCGCCATTCATTCACACAGAGACAAGCAGAACATGCAGGGTTAATATTTAAATAGTCTACAGTACCGGTACTTTGACAACACTAATTTCCACACATGGCTCTTTCCTCCTTTCTTATCAACAAGTGGATTTCCAGCCACCACATCAGCAGCGCCGCTGGTCGCCATGTCTCAGCGCTTTCATGAAGAGGACGCAACTTCACGCCCTTCGTGCATGCATGCATGTCCAGAACCGGGTTTGACCGGGTACTCGGTACCACCGGTACTTGGTACCGTGATGTTGAAATTTTTTTAGTACCGACTTGGTACCGAAGTACCGAATATTTTGACAGCACTAAGCTGTCACATGGACTAGCACTTCAATATGCCCCACGCTGATTTTTTTTTGTTTCAAATGGAATTGTCAAAGCTGTGAGGAAAAACTGCTCATCACTGGACTTTTAAGTTTATTCATAATTGTGCTCAAGTTATATGTCATATCATACTCAAAGTTGACAAAATTGAATAATTATTGTTACTTCTCTTGCCTTCTAAAGCACAAGACTGGCCTTCCCATCAGCACATACTTCAGTGCAGTAAAGTTACGCTGGTTGATGGATAATGTGGAAAAGATCCATGAAGCTGTGCTCTCCCACAAGGCAATGTTTGGAACTGTTGACTCCTGGCTTATCTGGGTAAGAGCAGTGGCAGTGAGGTATCTCTTATGTGATATATAGGGACTGTGTATATGAGTTTGGGGTTAAAGGATTAGTTCACACCTCAAAATGAAAATTTCCTGATAATTTACTCGCCTCAATGTTCATGAACCAAGATGTTCATGTCTGTCTTTCTTCAGTGGAAAAGAAATTATGTTTTTTGAGGAAAACATTTCAGGTTTTTTCTCCACACAATGGACTTCAACGGTAACCAAATAGTTGAAGTCCAAATCAATGCAGTTTCAAAGGGCTCTGCACGATCCCAGCTGAGGAATAGGGTCTTATCTAGCGAAACGATTGGTTATTTTCAAAAAAAAAAAAAAAAAATGTATATACTTTTTAACCACAATTGTTCGTCTTGTGCTGGTCTGCCAGGCATTACGTAATCACGTTGGAAAGGTCACGCTGGATGTAGGCGGAAGTACCGCCCCATTGTTTTAAACATCCAGGATGTGCACACGAAAGGACCATTTTAAACAATAAACTGACACAAAGACATAAATAGGTAATTCAACATACAATCAAATTTGAACGATCCTCCTTCTCCACGCTTGTAAACAATGGGGCGGTACTTCAGTCTACGTCCAGCGTGACCTTTCCAACGTGATTACGTAATGCTTGGCGCATCGCAGACCAGCACAAGATGAACAATTGTGGTTAAAAAGTATATATATTTATATTTTTTTTAGAAAATGACTGATCGGTTTGCTAGATAAGACCCTATTCCTCAGCTGGGATCGTGCAGAGCCCTTTGAAGCACTTCAAAGCCCTTTGAAACTGCATTGATTTGGACTTCAACAATTTGGTTACCGTTGAAGTCCATTGTGTGGAGAAAAATCCTGAAATGTTTTCTTCAAAAAACGTAATTTCTTTTCCACTGAAGAAAGAAAGACATGAACATCTTGGTTCATGAACATTGAGGCGAGTAAATTATCAGGAAATTTTCATTTTGAGGTGAACTAATCCTTTAAAGTGTAAAAGAAATCAGTGCATGGCTTTGTGGCAGTCCAATGCCATCAGGCTTCTAAATAATAATGCTCATGCTTGCATAGTGCAAAATAAACTCGTGCTTGCTGATACTGCAAAATAAACTCGTGCTTGCTGATACTGGCTCTGATCAGTATGAAGTGATCATGATGTAAATATTTAAGCTTGTTAAAATAATAGGTTATAACCCCTTACTTTCAGTGCTTGACAGGGGGGAAGAAGGGAGGTGTTCACTGCACAGATGTGACCAATGCCAGCCGGACCATGCTCTTCAATATTCACACAATGGACTGGGATCCAGAGCTCTGCACGTAATTATACATTTGCTTACATAGTTCTTTTTATAAATCTTTCTGGAGTAAAGCTAACTTGCATATGCAGTAGCTAGTCAAAAAGAATGTGACTTAAAGGGATAATCCACAAAAAAAATTAAATCCTCTTATCATTTACTCACCCTAATGCCATCACAGATGTATATAACTTTCTTTCATCAGATGAACAAAAGATTTTTAGAAAAATAATCTCTGATCACATTCTCTGTGAGTACAAATAATACAAGTGTACCCCATAGTTGACATGACAGAAATCCTTTTTTTTTTTTTTTTTACTATAAAACATAGTTTCTGGCTACACGGGTTCATGAGTTTACGCTTGACATAAATGTCCGCATATTGTGAAGTTTGATTTTAGTGCGCTGTGAAACTCTGAAAGAAGTGATGTCCTCTGTGGTTCTCGCTTGAGCTTCAGAACACATTTACGTCACACTTCACAGTGTGCTTACGTAGCACTTTACGACACTCTCATGAACCCGCATATGACAGTTTGTTGGAAGCTAGGTTTATAGTAGGGATGCAACGATACCAATACTGCATTGATGTACTCGTACTCATTAAAACGCACCAATACCATGCAGCGTTTACAGTGCTTGTGACAAAGAAACACAGACAACAGAGCAAACAGAAAGCAGAATGGATAAATCAGAGAAGGATGTCTATGAAGTAAATTTATAGAATTAATAGAATGTTAAACAAATTAAATATTTACGCCTATATAGCTGCAGCGGCACAGACGCGGAAGATTGTTGAGCTGACATCCCTTTTTCATAGACATCACTGAAAAGTTTGTAGTTCGGTTGGATATGGCAATAGCAAATAAAATAAAATGAGATGCATATTACTAACATTAACTGACGTAAAGAGAGAGAGTGCACTGTTGCATGCTCTTAACTGTTGATCGTTCACTCAGCACACATGCACCATTTGAATTAAAACGAAGTAAAAACATGAACTGTTACGTGATTTATGTATAACGAGGGGTTCCCAACATTATTACAGGAAGGCGGTACAGTAATCACATGACGTTTTCAAGAAGTTTTCCGTGGACAAACATCCGAAGCACGCACCCAGAGTGCTCCCTCTTAGCACGAATAGCCTATTAAATAGTTCTATTTCATGTCATCTTGTTCTTTAACAAATTCACAAAAAATTATGTAAAAATGCCCGTATAGGCAAGTATCCTTGTGTAACATAGTTGGTTTGGTCTTAAGTGAATGTAAACAGTTGAAAAAAAAACGCGTGACATCAGCCTAATAAACCTACTGCTGTCTTTGTCTTTAATGTTAATCTAACAACGAAAGACAGAAAACCACTCGCTTCCCTTGACTGGTTGAGGCCTTTTGGAGCTGCTCTAAATATTCACTGTGCTATTAAATTAAAGATAAAATATGATAGAGCAATAATATGAACAGTGAAAGTGACAGTAGTTCCTACAATACATTTTAACAGGCATAATTAGGCATGAAATTAACTGAAGGAAATGTCTATTTGCTAAGCCAACTAATTTGTTTCATATTCTTTTGCTTTCCCTGCCCAATATTTTAAAAAAAATAAAAAATGCAATGAAAATACAGGTATCAGTACTCTGATTCGGCAAGTATTAAAAATAAAAGTATTGTACTCATTCTGGGAAAAGTGGTGCGTCCATAGTTTATAGTTGAAAAAGTTCAGGGAAGACATGAGGGTAAGTAAATGATGAGAGAATGTAAATGTTTGTGTGAAGTATCCCTTTCAGGCTGGAGTACACTAGACTACACAACTTTAAAATCTGAACGCTTGTTGACTTGTAAATGGTTACAGAGGAAAAACTGGCTATCATACAGTAAAACTGAGTATTACTGAGTTTTCTGCAAAATCTGTAAAAAATCAAATAAAACCAAATCTGCAGGTTGGCTCTGTCTTTTGGCAATTAGCATTGATGCATCCAGACTGCAAACAATGCAGAAGTCTGGGCAAAACAGTGTAGTGTATTACAGCCTTCACCGATTCCAGCCTTTAAGATTTATTTATAATATATATTTCTTAAATAGATATTTTGATATACCAATGGAAATTCTGCCAAAAGTGAGAAGTTCTTCAGAGATTTATGGTTTGATGGTAAGTGTTTGACACCAAAGAGATAATTAATCATGCATTATGTAACACAAGTACAGAAATCAAATTGTCACACTGCTTTAAAATGTGTCCTACTCAGGGTGAAATAAAAATATTTATTTGCATGCTGTGCAACAGAGAGATGATCTTTGCTCCAGAGCATTGCTTGTCAAACAGCAACTGTTTTCCCTTTGTACTTTAACTGTACATACACAAAATCCACAAGCCCGAAAAATGGTTTCCATCCAAATTTGAACTTTGCTTTGGAGCAGTCATTTCACCCTTTGGATAGTTTAGTATCTCCCTCTTTATCATGATTATATTTTGTGTCCTGTGATCTCTTTGGGCTGACTGATAGAAAATCAGCTCTAATCTGGTGAGTATTTCTCTAGCTGTCTACACACTGTCATGTCTGAGACAACTTTGCTGTGTCCTGTCATCACAGAAGTTCGTGCATTTCCAATATGGCGCAAACATGTTTTTCCTATTGGTTATAAATGCAATTTATACTTTGTAGGGGTCTTATTGGAAATGTACCGGATTTTGATCATGTCATTGTTTTTCCACTGTGTTTTGGCTTGATGCCAGGTGCACTGCTTATCCTTTCCAACAGCTCTTGAAGTTTTTATCCAATTTAGAAACTTTTTCCTTTAGTGTTCTGGTTGTGGTCCTCTTCAATGTTGCCTTCTTTTTTTCTTTTTTTTCTTCTTCATTCTTTCTCTATGGCTTAGGACGCACCATCTTGAGTTGCAGTAATAAAAATGAAGCTGCTCAATTACTCAGTTTGCAACACATACTTGTAGAGTCACTGTTTCCTCTGTGTGGTTTTACCAATTTGTGGGGTATGTCTAGAGAAGAAACTTTACAACACACAGCAGCAGATGATTTTGACATGCAAAAATGCTCTAAAAGTAGACTATCATTTTTAACCTAGCTCAAGTGTTTGAGTTTTGGCATTAAGCAGGGAGTGGTGTAATGCATGTTAATTATTAAATTAATTTGTATAATACAGTATATTACTGTATTAAATTCTTCCCCTGTTGTTTTACTTTTTAATATTCTATTTTTTTCTTACAGAAATCTGGCCCTTTAACTGGTGTCCCCATATCAGGGGTAAGATTATTAGATTACTATTAGAACAATAACTGTTTCTTTCTGTCTTCCTCTTATTTAGCCAACTTTTGATTGTATACATTGTTTTTTTTTTTTTTATTCACAATCCTTTCTGTAGTCCTTTAAAGTAACTTTACATCTATTTACAGTGTCTTGGTGACCAGTCTGCTGCGCTGGTTGGACAGATGTGCTTCAAAGACGGACAAGCCAAAAATACGTATGACTTAGTTTTGTTAATCTGTCTTTTGTTTCATATCCAGCAGGATCACTGATCACTAATGTGTCAACATGCAAAAATGTTTGAGATTGAATGATGTTATTTGTGATTGTATATATTTTCTCACATTATGTAAATGTTATGTTTTTATATTTACAGTTATGGGACTGGTTGTTTCCTTCTTAAGAATGTAGGAACAAAGGTATTCAATTTACATATAGCTTTTAAAACGCATTGTGTTTTTTTTTCATTTAATCTTCCTATGTTTTTTTTTTTCTTTTGTTTTTTTTCTGAAGCCTGTAATGTCGGACCATGGACTTCTGACAACAGTCGCATATAAACTAGGGCGTGACAAGCCAGCCTACTACGCACTAGAGGTAATTTTAAATGATAACGATCCATTACCAATGCATTTTGTTTTCTTGATCATTGTAGAATATCTATATATCTGTGTGAAACTGATAATCAGTCTTATGTGTTAAACACAGCCCTCTAAATACACACTAGTTCATTATAGAGAAAGACAACAAATGATTAAAAATATATAATTGTAATCTATTGCAAAAATAAATTATAAACTTAGTGCGTGGATCATTCAGCAGCAAAATTATTTATTGAAAAATGCACAATAATTTTATCAAATCTAAACGTTTAGTGGAAAAAAAACAGTGGTGAAAAAAACAGGTGGATTTAAGTGTAGTGCTAAATCTGATAAATTGTTAATAAAAAACTGAATTTTTATTCTTTATAGAAAACTGAAGTAATTTCTACAAATTGTTTTCATGAATGTAAAGATGGAATCATAATCACTCCATGTTCGTTCATTCGCCAGGGGAGAACTTGGCTGCCCGACTGAGCCTGGTTTGTCCCAAAGCTTTTTTCTCCATTCTGTCACCTGATGGAGTTTGGGTTCCTTGCCACTGTCGCCTCTGGCTTGCTTAGTTGGGGACACTTAATATTCAACAATATTATTGATCTGACTGTACTTGCGCTGTTGTGTGCGAACTGAGCTGGACAACAACATTACTCTTTTCCTGCAGAACTGCTTTATAGATAAAATGAACCCATTTAATAATTGATGATCTTTACAACGGAACTGAATCAACCCTAAACTGACTTCAGCTGAACAATGACACTATTTTCTTTTAGAGGTGCTGTACAGTCGAAATGAACAGTTTGCATCATTTAATTTTTTTCCTGTTATCCCTGTAAAGCTGCTTTGAAACAATCTGTATTATAAAGCGCTATATAAATAAAGGTGACTAGACTTGACCGATACTGGATATCGGGTCGTTGCATCCCTATTGTTTACATTTATTAGAACTGGCAACTTTTTCAAAACCACTTCTAAAAATATATATTTTTTAAATCTATTCATTTCTCACAATCACTTTGTAATTTAAAGTGATATAGCCAATCCTTTAACCTTATTCATCTGCAATGCTTATTTATAGGGTTCTGTTGCCATTGCTGGAGCAGTTGTGCGTTGGCTAAAGGATAACCTTGGAATTATACAAACCTCTTCAGAACTTGGTGTGTTTTTATAGAAATTATATTTATACCCAATATAAAAGCATTCAACCCAGTTTGGGAATATTTCAGTATAAACACTTCACTTTTCACCTCAGAAAAATTAGCTGCTGATGTTGGCACATCATACGGCTGTTACTTTGTCCCTGCATTCTCTGGATTATATGCGCCATACTGGGAACCAAGTGCCAGAGGGTAAGTAACTGATCCGTCCATTTAAAAGATCATTTTCGGCTGATCTCTGTAAGTGACATAAAAACTCTAAAGCCCGAGTGCAATGAGCATAAGGCACTATATTTTAATTATAAATGTAAATCTTATAGCACATTTTATCATGCGAGAATACTTGTGATATTAATGCATTTTCTTTCTTCCTTTTAAGTCCAGTTTCAGTGCTGTGTTATTATATGAAATGAGTACAACATTGAACATCTGCCTCTTGCTTACAACAGAATCATCTGTGGTCTAACACAGTTCACCAATAGGAGTCATTTGGCTTTTGCAGCACTCGAAGCTGTCTGCTTCCAGACACGAGAGGTATCTTCCATGAATTGGCATGGGTCTGCATGATTGAATGTCCTAATTAAAATAATTTCTGACAGATGAATATTAAACGTTGTCCAAAGCGTTTCTGTGGTCTCTACAAACTAGTAAAATAATTTCAACTCAAATCTTCATTTAATGTTCATTTGATTTGCAAATGAACATGTAATAAGCAGGACAATTTAGTCAGCCACAGACTTCATGTCCTGATCACCCTGTTGTGGTTTATTTTGCAGCGTCTATTTTATTGTACATTTATCCCTTTTTCTTTTCTTTTTTTTACAGTCTTAAGGCTGGATGTGTATTTCTAAAATTGAGTACTGTATGTCCTGAATAAATAAGTGACTATAAAAACTGTTTTTGTAGGATGTTAAAGGATGCTAAAATTTGTTTCAGATTCTGGATGCAATGAACCTGGACAGTGGTATTCATCTGGCTCAGCTCCAGGTTGATGGAGGGATGACATCCAACCGGTTACTGATGCAGCTGCAGGCCGACATACTGTGTATCCCAGTTGGTAAGATACACATTTTCATACAAAGGGTCTGAAAAAGTGCATCACTTTTTGAAAGGATGAAGTATTATTGATTTACTTGTACATCTTTATATGAGGATGTACATAAATGCTTAGAAATGGGCAGATATGTGATGTAAATTGTATTTATTTACAGTAAAACCATCCATGCCTGAAACCACAGCTCTGGGTGCTGCCATGGCAGCAGGAGCAGCTGAGGGGGTCAGTGTGTGGAGCCTGAACCCAGAAGATCTCACAGAGGTCACTTCAGAAAAATTTGAACCTCAGATCAACCCAGAGGGTAAAGGAATCTAAAATCCAACACCCTACAGCTCATAACTAATGTAAATTGTATGTACAATATATAGTTTTTGCATTAAAATAATTGTTTATTTAATTTGTAACCTTGTTCAATGTAATACTGACAAACTTTTTGGAACCTTCCAGGCCATAACATTGTGTTGTAATGTGTGTAATAACTAACTGTTGATTAGCACTCTAGTTGTAGATGAAACTTTCATTTTTTTTTATACACGCAGAGAGCGAACTGCGATATGCTCGCTGGAAGAAAGCTGTACAGAGGGCTATGAACTGGGAAACCACTGAGCCAGTCAACAATGGAAATGGTGTGTGTGTGTGTGGGATTTCCCTTTCTTTTTTTGACTCGATTGTAAATTTTATCAATCAACTAATCAAAGAAACACTCTGCAAATACAAGTAATTCAGTAATTGCATATTATATCTAAATGAGTAAAAAAAGAAAAAATCTGGAAAATTATCTGATCTCTTTTGCTCAAATTATTTCAATGTTTTTTCCAAAAGGAAAAATACACACCAAAAAATACAACCAGGCCCACAACAGTAGTCAAAGATTGATTTAGGGTTTGTAGTAATAAATAACCAGAGGTATTGACCCAGAATGTCTAAAGTCAGGGAGAATGGATGTTCAGAACTTTGGAACAACACAAAGCTTGTTTGTTTTTTGTTTTTATCAGGGGTCAAAGTCTTCCTTCTGGTGATCTACTTTTCTGCAAAGTTATTGATTACCTGGTTCAGTTAGAACTAAACTCTCCAGTAAAGCAAACCTCCAGGAGAAGTGACTAGTTTTTCGGTTTCACAAAATCGGTAGTTACTTAATTGTCCCACTTCTTTTCTCTTTCTTTTCACTGCCTTGCATAACATGGACCTGTGTTCTGGACAACCAACAGAGGAGACTAGTATCTTCAGTAGTGTACCCTTGGGCTTTTACATTCTGGGTAGCATGTTTATGTTAATTGGAGCAAAGTACATTGCAGGTCAGTGTGAGAGCGAGTGAGTGTGTGGGAGTGACTGTGAGATGGTGAAAAAGATAAATGCATGTTTTTGTATGTGTGTCCTTCTGCTTGAAGTCCATCGGCCTGAGAGAGAGCGGTGAACGTGAGCATACTCACATGGCAACATTTCAGGATAACCACCACACATTAGTTCTCTTTATATGATGCAAGTAGATGTCTTGTAGTATGAATGAATGTCATAGACTAGCATTTCAATTCATGTGGGTCTGTAAGGAGGAAATTATAGAACAGGTCCTTTGTGATGAGATGTACTCATGGCAGCCGGAAAATAATCATTCCACAGTTCTCATTTTTTTATTAATTGGAGTGAGAGTGCCATGTTGCTGATGGCTGTAAATATGTAGTTTGGTTTGGTGAATTTGGTGATGGAAAAAGGTACCTGTTCTAGGAATCTCCCTGTCTGCCCCAAATGTGCTTTTACTGTCACTATTACTTCTTCACAGTCTCCGGTCATCCCTGTCACGTGTCACGCTATCTTCAAAATTACCAAGCATGCTGAAAAACATAGACACTTTCTGCTCATCGGTTAAGCAAAACATAGTTCCTGCTGTTCTAATTTTTTTTCTCTCTCTCTCACTAAAGCAGGGCAGAAGTAAAATTGAACACTTCCATATTTCAGAAGATAGGAGACAAAGTCAGAAGAACAAAAGAGGGTCCGTGGCTTATCCCTTCAAACTCTAGATGTGCTGTGGCTTTGGCAGATTACACCCCCGTCTAAAGACATTCCAACTGAAATAGAGGTTGTTAATGTTTCCTGCAGACATAGAGCCTCCAAATTATACATGAAGACTTTTCTGGCTTTGTAGCAGAAAGTTTTATTGAACATATTTGATATGATGACATATTACTGTAGTATTCCCACACTGTTCACTAGAAGGAAGTTGCTGTGGCTCAGTGTTTCTAGCATTTTGTCTGTACAGTAAATTCTATTGAAATTTTCATTGATGGGTAGCACCTCTCAGTTGTGCTAATCAATCTTTGTCAAATTTAATTTTTTTTAATGGCACGGCTCGTTTCCACTGAGCGGTACGGTACGGTACGGTACAGTACAGTACGGTTCGGGTCTGTAAAACCATGATCCGGCTAGCGTTTCCACTGCCAACAGTACCCTTACTTGATAGGCGTGGTGTTAGCCGGAAAGAAGCGATCGACGTCATTTTCGCGCGAAGAAGAAAGCGACATAGTAAACAACTATGGATGACATACTGCAGATCTTGTTCTTGCTTCTCGGCATGTTTGTCACAAGAAACAAGCGCCGGCATTAGGCGTTTCTCAATACCAAGTAGCCTGCGCAAAGTCCGACTCAGGAGAATGACTCCCGAGGACGCGAGTCCAGTAATTCTGCTGATGGAACAGCGCGTTCTTGAAAGCGCCACTCAGCTCGCTCTGCTACTCCGGTTATCTCTGTATGTACATTTTTAGGCAAGAATAAAACGAAATATGTTATAAAAACACCACTCTGCTTCTTTTCGATTTCATTTAAATACATTTTAAAGATTATAAGCACACAAATGTGGTTCAGGCAACGCGGCTGGGTATATCGATTATATTCACTGCATGTAGCCTATATTTATAACAAAACTAAATATAAAACACAACCCTGCCTCTTCGTTTAAATTTAAAAATATTAAACATATTCCAGGCAATATGTGCATTGGTACAAATGTTGCAATAAACAACATTACAGATTGTCTTGTAATAAAATAAAAAATGACAAAACTCAACCCTATCTCTTTTTGTTAAATTTCAGTTTTATCAATAATAGCCATTATAAAAGTATAAGTAAAAGGTACAAAAAGCTATACAGTAAAGCTTTAATAACATAAAGCAAACAATTCAGTCAAATATACAAATTCAGCGCTCAAATATATGAAACTTCACTTAGCCTTCTGCCAAAACTATTGGCCAGGGAACGAATTATAGATTCACGAGACCAAAGATCGCCTGTTAGGTCTATACAAGATGAATTATATCGCATGTTTAACCACTACAGACAGAGACGTCAGAGTCAGCGGCAAACATCAGAACGACTGGCCGAGGAAAGGCTGTTCCAGGCGGGGTACTTGAGCGCCGAGCACCCGGTGATTGCTTGGAATGGATCTCAGTCAAATTATCATAAATCTATAAATAAACCCAAGATTTGAGCTTTAAAAAACTACATTCTCGCCTTAAAAACTCTTAAAACTACATTTCGTGACACAATAACAGTAGTATTATATTTCAACTGTATATAAAAAATGGCGCTTCTAATGCCCTTGTAGCACGCGCAAGTGACGATACTCTGTCAACCAATCAGCGTTCTGCAGTGAGTCTAGCTCCACCTTTTAGTACCTTACCACTGTGCTAGGTACCCCAACGGAAGGGTACCCAAAAAGTGGTACGGTACGGTTCGGCTTTTTGGTACCATTCACAACTTTTGACAGTGGAAACGCAAATAATTGTGTACCGTACCGCTCAGTGGAAACGAGACATAACAGTCATAAAAGTGTGTGTCTGCATGGTTGTGACATTTATTTTGAAGTTTGAAAGAGCAAGATATAATATTAATTTAGTTACTTATGAAACCTATTCAGGAGACCGTTTTAGTGCACTTTATAATGTATTATGATGTTATGTGTATAAACAGCAAGGGAACCATACAATCTCATGTAAATAATGTGACTTCTTTCCTCTTTTACTATTTCATTTGCATTTTGTCTGTTGGAAAAGTTTGTCATATTGTTGAAAAAAATACTGTGCACATCAAGTTATCTAGTCCAAAACACTGTGGCCCAGCTAGATAGAAGTTGCACTACTGCATAGTTTCAGCCTTTGATTTTTTTTTTACCACTATGAGAGAGACCATTAAAAAAGGACGTCACTTAAGCAATGTTGAGTCAATATCGAAATAATTACTGACAAGGTTTGTGTATAATTATATTTAAACAAACATGCTGTGTTGTCCTATTTTTTGTCATGTCACTGAAATTGTGCATGTTAATTACATTACTGTGCAGCTCAATGAAGTTATGATGAAGGATGTTAACAGATCAAAATCATTTTATAGTAAGAATTTCCTTTGAGTTCAAATTAGAAATTAAAAAAAGAGTCAGTTGCTAAGACTCAGGAAATATTTGGCACTTGATTTTCTCTCATACTTGATATCTGTGTAATGAAATCTCATAAGATCTATGACAATGGCAAATTTTGTAGAGGAAAAAATTATGAATTATGTGCCAAAATTCTAATAATATAATTGCCAATTTAATAGTTTTGTTTTGATGCATTAGTTTGTGTTTTGAAGAACAAATCTGTTAGCATTTTTAAAATGTATTCTGAAAGGTACTTTCTGCATCCATGAATACTTGAAATCCACTATAACAAAAAAATGTTTAACAAAAAAGTTGCCAGTATTAAATTTCAGTAATTTATTTTCTTCAGTGTATGTGGCTTTGATTGTTGAACATTTTCAAAAAGTAACATTTGGGTTGTGCATGCATATGGCTTAGTGCATGCATATTTTTTCTTTCATTAATGACACACACACTATTCAGACGGAATAACTTCTCTAAACTCGCACTTACCATGACATAAAATGCAGTCATCATCAAACATGCACACATCTATGAACTGCTCGTATTTCTTATTCATATCTTTTCTCTAAAAATATTTAAATTTTAAATTATATTTAAAAACCTTACTTTTTCCTCTATCTTTTATCTACTTTTTTTTTAAATAGCCTCTTAACCAGTTTCAAAACATTTCTGTTCATTATTCATTTGATTTTAGAAAAGCTGTGTTGGTTTGGATCATTATTCATTACTTTGCTTCAGCTTGCTTTGGCTGACTGATAACAGAAAGACAGACAGAGTTACCATCCCTTCCTCCACTCAAGCAGTCTCTCACCTTAAACAAATAATCTTTTCAACGGCCTCCTATGACTGTAATTTAGACAGAATGTAAATTCCTTACACTAACCTTTGACCATTGTTATTCAGACTTTTGAGTTGTCTTCATCTTAAGCCACCACCATGCCTTTGTCCCGATACCCTGACATCTATGCATTTTCCTTGCCCTTAAGGCAACTAACATCATATAATTGCATTCACTTGTGGTCTGTATGTTAATGACGTTGAAACACCCCATTGTCTGATATGGTTCCCTGTGTCTCACACCGGCCCCATTCTACAATTGTCTACCATTTGCTCAGAATGTGTTGAATCCCAATGGTGAAGAAACAGAATAACTTCACTTCTTTTATCTCTATGATAATTAAGCCATTTTGGAGGATGAGTTCATTCTAAAGTATATTTGGGAGTGGGGTCGAGGCAGACTAAAATTCCTTACAGTCCCCTCTCTGATGCTCTTGGCCCAAAGTAGCATCAATCCACTCCCTTCGCACAGATTACACCTCCGCAGCCTGGTGGGCAGGTGCCCAGTGGCGATGCCGCCCTGGCTTAGGTTGTTCTCTTATGGCCATCAGAAAGTCGTACCCGTCGTCGGCACAGACATCTCATGCACACTGGTACATCTCCATCCAATTGGGCAGAATTATCAAAGAGAACCTTTTCTAAAATTTGACAATATGATATACAAACTTTTTCTTGGGTGTGAGTGAGAAGACATTCAAGAACCATCACAGTCAGTAGGAGTGTCCTAAACAATAACAACAGCGTTTAATCAAATCAATCTATTAAACATCCTCAGCAAAATCGCAATGCTTAGATTATACTCAGTGAATTTAGATCACAATGTACATTCAGTGTACTTCATCTGTAGTCTGGGTAATCGGCCCTGAATGGTGGAGGCTAAAGTGAGACAAAGGAGTTACTGGTTCTAAAATAAGTTAATCAAAATGTCACCTCTATCGTTTGAGGTCTGTATTATTATTTTAAAGACTTCTTTGAAGTCATTCAGTTTTACTTTTAAAACATTTAAAATACAAGTTGCCCTCTGAATGGCAATGATTTCTTTTATCATCTCTGTGTCTTTGATTTTCAACTGAAACACTGTGCTTTACTATCAATAGCTTATCAATGACACAGGCTCAGGTAACAGCTTTTAGCTGACATTGAATGAGAGAGAGAGAGACTCCTGAGACATTAAGAATTTCAGACTTTATCTGCCATCTTTTAACTTTAGCCCAGCTTAAAGCATCTTTTCCATAAGTTGCATGTGTTTTCAATACAGGCACAATTTTTTAGTTTTCTTTTGCCCATACAGGGACATTAGACATTACAAATTTCAACTCAGATTGAGTCTCTGTCATACTGGCAGTTTCAGCCCCAGCACACATCAGATTCAGATAATCAAATTGTTTCAGCCAAATCACAAGCTAAAATCTTCTAAAATCAACACATCAGCTTCTAGTTCTTTCATGGTCAAAACTAACAAGCTTTTGTTTAATCAAATGTCATTTACATTTAGCAACTGTTAATCCCCTAACACTACTTATGCTTAGCCTATTTTATCTTTAGAAAAATAATGATGTTTCAAATTTCATCTAAATTTTAGTTGTCAGGTTCTCAATTACTATAGTTTAATATCTGACTTTCATGTTTTCTTTTCTAAGCAATTAGCAATACTTTTAAAAGTATTTTCAACTCATTTCTTTATCTGTAATTTTCCCACTAAAAATCAGATCTATCAGGTTTTAGAAATGCAATTTAAACAGTGGGGGTTAGAGG